TCGCTCCTGCGGGGCATCGGTTTAGTATTCAATGTAAGATATGCCTCAATTATGTTTTGTATTCTAGATGAGGGGATGGGCATAAAGCAGAGGGAACTTTTTCAGATGATAATTTGTATCGCATGTATGAAAATGTAGAAAACAAGGTGTAAAATGATACTGAACCAGACAGTAATCGGCAGTAACACCATAGTGAAACAGATACTTACTGAACTAAGGAGAAAAAAGACCCTGGACAAATCCCAGACTCTGCCATGGGGCATCTTGAGTCTGTGACCTAACTGAGCCTCATAAGTAAAACGTGCTCTCCTTATGTTATTTATATATTTATACTTAGTGTGATGTGTGTATTATTGATGTAACTTGTATATAATGTACTGCCCTAATAATTTAAAATAAAGTTTTCTAAAGAAAAAAAAAGAAAAAGAAAAGGTGCAGGAAAGGTTAGGGCGAAGGCCAAGACTCGCTCCTCCCGGGCCGGGCTCCAGTTCCCCGTCGGCCGTGTCCACAGGCATCTGAGGAAGGGTAACTATGCTCATCGTGTCGGTGCAGGAGCCCCGGTGTACCTGGCCGCTGTGCTGGAGTACCTGACCGCTGAGATCCTGGAGCTGGCTGGAAACGCCGCCCGGGACAACAAGAAGAGCCGCATCATCCCCCGCCACCTGCAGCTCCCTGTCCGCAACGACGAGGAGCTAAACAAGCTGCTGGGAGGAGTGACCATCGCTCAGGGAGGCGTGCTGCCCAACATCCAGGCTGTGCTGCTGCCCAAGAAGACCGAGAAACCCGCCAAGAAGTAAACACCCTGATCCCGCTTCAACAAACAACAAAGGCTCTTTTAAGAGCCACCCACTTCAACTAAAGAATATTCCCCCCTTCACTACAGAAATGCTTAATGGCCCAGAACAGTGATCTCGCCCGATATGTATTGAGGTGTACAACATATACAACATTTCGTATATTACACCAAGTCACTCGACTAAAAACACCCACATTATAGAGCAATATAAACTTGAAACATAACCCTAAATTACTATTAATGATATAATTGTATTTGTTGGGTTGTAGCCTCTAAAGTAAAGCCTAATTTCAACGAAAGCAAACTCCTTTTCACAATTTCCTTCGTACATCCAGCAGGTTAATCACCACATTCTCAAATGAATAGCGGTATGGTTTCTACATCTGTGATTGATTGATTGATTGAAAAGTTTATTAACAGCTTGTATATTGGGTACAGTACAGTACAGCTCAAAACATACAATTGTTAAGGGGATGCAGACCAGAGAAAGACTTTCGTCTTGTTTACATCAGGGTCCCCCATTTCCAATTCATCATATCATTTAAGACATATAAGACATATTTGACATACAGATGGCTTATTTACAATTTATTCTACAATATTATTAATACAATTCTGTCATTCCACATAAATAAAGCCACAACGTTTGTTGGACCCATCATTAGTGTTTAACTCAGTTTACACTACACTATATCAGTATTACTTATTGGCAGGTGTCTGCAGTTCACCGATCAATAGCGTACCGTAACATTTAAGCACTCAATTGTATCTTTTGCCCACACGCACTTTGAAATGAATACAACAGGTTATATTTCGTTCCAGCCTTTATCCACCAGATGTCAGTGTTCACCAACAAATGTTTGGAGCAGAACGAAAATAGTGGCTCTATTGTAGTGGATTACATATTAACACATTTGGTCTTTCTAACAGTTCTTTATTTATTTTGTATTAGCATTTTAAGAAATTAGGTACATCTAGGTACATATATTAATGAAGTTATTATCTTTTAGCCAATTAGCAGTTCTTTAATGTGACCATTGTATATTATACCGTTAGGAGTTAGTTTAGTAGCTCTAAAACATACATGGCACAAACTATTACAGCACTATTTCAAGATGAGATAAGCATGTAAATATTAACATCTTGAAGAATATTGTTTAAACTAAACTGTATGTTATAGACAGCCCCCAGTTAGATTCAAGTGTCTTATCATGAAATGACACACTGCAAGTGCAGCAGTGTCTCTGATGCTGTTGTTTTATGCTTTATGAACGTGGACAACAGAGAAACATATTCTTCATGACCAAAGTTGGAATTGAAATAAAAAAGGAAAGTGAAACTTATGCTCGTCACCCTCTCCCTCCGGTCCACATTAATACAAATGATCCCAATACGTATGATTGTATGAACTATGAAAATATCTTAAAATCAATGCAAATGTATTTATTATAAACGTTAGTCTTTAACATCTATCACTGTGTATATCACCATTCAAACATCTTTTAAAAGATGAACAAACCCCACACAGCTCAGTAAAGACTGTGAAATGTTGACTTTATTTGATCATTTCAGTAATATTATAAAAAGATTATAATACTGATGAACGTTCAAAACAAAGCACTTTGGCAAGTTACCACATACGTTTTAAAAAGCTTAATAAGCACCGTAACTTTCATGATATAATTTCTCGGTCATAATCGGTTGTTTCCGTGAACGGCCGACTGTTGTGTGACGGCAAATGCTGCGGCTGCAAGGCATTGTGGGGCAGCATTTTCTCCTCTCCTTTCGGTGAGGGAGGTCCAGTGGTTCCTAAGCTAAAGGAGGTTATAAAGGAAGTTTGAAACCTCCTTTCCTTTCATCTAGAGAATTCGAACGGCACTTATCATGGCTGCCACTGAGGGACTTCCGGGTCATTTCACTCCGTTAGGAAGGTTCCTAAGCTAAATGGACTATTCGACTTCAGCCTTGGCCTTTGCTCAGGCTTTTCCTCCGGTCTTGCCTCTTCCAGACATTTTCAGTTTAGGTTCGCACAAAATAATAGTTCTCTAGCAACAAGAGGTGCCTTATCAGTGGCGTAACAAGGTTGTGATTGGCCCCGGTGCAAATATTGTTTTGGGGCCCCATCCCCCCATCGCCCCAAACATAAGCGCACACTGATGCGCTCACACACGCACGGACATAGAGAGGCGAAGTCCCGCCCATCTACTTCCGACCCATGGGACCTTATTTCGGAAAAAATATGTATTGAAGTCAAACGGGATCGAAAGATAATCTTTCTCTCCCCATTGACTTCAATACATACTTTTTCCGAAATAAGGTCCCATGGAGCTCCCCCGGAAAGGGAGGGACTTCGCCTCTCTATACACAACCACTCAGAAGCGCCACATGTATAGGCTAACTCAGACCACCACAGCCTGACAACGGCACAGCGAACTAAGAAGAGGATTAAACCTGTTTCCTTGATGTTTGTCTCTGGGGAATGGGCCTGTAGGCCTACATAGACCGGTTGCTATAATATAGCTTTTGATCTTGGCGTCGGGGGTCTCAATAGCGCCATAGAGTCCCCTATCGGTTGGGGCCCTTGGGGGAACTGTTGGACCACCGCTGGGCACAGCCAAATCCAGCCTCTCCTCCTGGCTGGCTGGAGAAGAAGGTTGCACAGCCACGGCCACGGCACGGATACAGCTACACTTGTGGAGCTAGATGGCAATGATGGTGGTGAGGCAGGTGAGCTATCAATAGCCTCCGGCTCCGGCTGCCGCTGCACGTCAACAAAAGCCGCGTTCACACCAAGTACTTTGCCGTACTCAGTGCCGGCACTCAGTGCCCCGGCACTTATTACCCCGCGTTCACACCGGAATAAATTCCCTGGGGGAAGATTACGCAAATGAGCCCCTGACGTCACTTCGTCTTCTTCTGCTTTGGGTTTACCGGCAGGCCGCAAACAACTTCACGGCGTATACTGCCACCCGGAGTCCCCGGCCGGAAGTCCCCGGAGTTGGGGACTGGCTTCAGTAGAAGCTGCTGGGACTCCCAGCAGTTTCTACTGAAGCCTTCCGAGTAAATCACCAGAACGCCGACACCTCCTCATCTCCACCGCTCCCATGTTTTATTTTGTGTTGCCATAAGTTAGTCTCTCTGCGTTTGTGCGCTGGGCGAATGCTAATGCTAATAATGCCAATGCGAGGATAATAAAATGGCGGCTCTACAAAACATTTCAGAGTTTTACGGGGCGTGGTTTGCAATTCGCCCAGCCAATCAGAACTGGGGCACTTTTTTCCCCCAGGAAAGTACCATCTCTCAGCAGGCACTAAAAATGGGGGTAAAAGTTCCCGGGATTAAGTGCTCTTTTTGGTGTGAACGCAACATAAGGGGTACTAACGGAACTAAACGCGAAAAGTACGGTGAAAAGTACTCCGGTGTGAACGCGCCTATTGCTAACGTTAGCGCTCGATTTCGAGGACGATGTATGACCAAAAAAACGGTCTAATTTTGTCCGTTTAGCTGTTACATCTCCTTGTTTAGCTGTTACATCTCCTTGTTCTCTGGATGTTTTATTTCTAGTCTTTTAATTTCTCTTATGTACAATGCGATACGATACGATATTACTTTATTTGTCAGATCAAGACTGAAATTTGACTTGCGTCACAGCAGCTCCATGTCCAACATCAACAGACAAATATCCAGACAAAAATACATGAAACACAAACAACAAACATTTAACATAACAGCACAATCAGTGAGAGAAAAGCTGCTCAAAGAGCCTTCAACGTGCATTTGATCTGGGATGTAGCTCTGTATTTACTGTGAGGATTGACTGATGCACAAAGGAGTGCTTCAGTCTGACTTTATTGAATCGTGGGACCCTGTATCTCCAATTAGATGGTAGCAGTTCATATTCACTGTTCAGAACATGGTTTGGGTCAGAGATTATGTTGTTGGACAGCCTCACTAGGTTGTTATGATAGGCTGATGATATACATGTAAGGGATAATGTTTTAGAGAGAATATGTAAGTAGATGTCTTTATAACAATATAATAAAAATGTATTGTACTAAGAGGAAATAGATGAATGTAGTATATCAGGTAACATGTTAGTCATGTTTCATACAAGTCATCTTTATATCAGTTAATTAACTTCTTGTAAAACATAAGGTACTCTGGTGTTGCAAAATATAAACATGTCATATTAAAACAGGAGAAGTGCTCTTTTGGTGTATGTGGGTGGCTCTTAAAAGAGCCTTTTGTAGATGAAGTAGATGATCTGTTTACTTCTTCGCTGCTTTCCTGGCTGGTGCCTTCTTCGCTGGTTTGGCAGCTGGTTTAACCACCTTCTTCACAGCTTTCTTGGGGGTTGCGGTCTTCTTGGGGGTCGCTGCCTTCTTGGGTGCTGCCTTCTTGGCCGCCACCTTCTTCTTCGGGCTCTTAGTGATCTTCACGGGGGTTTTCTTGGCAGGAGTAGCAGGCTTCTTCACCCTCTTGGGTGTTACTGCCTTCTTGGCGGATGGCTTCTTGGCGGCTGGCTTCTTAGCGGCGGGTTTCTTCGCTGCTGCTGCCGGCTTCTTGGCTTTGACTGCGGGCTTCTTCGCTACCTTCTTGGGCTTCTCGGCGGGCTTGGCTGCCTTGAAGGAGCCGCTGGCTCCGGATCCCTTGACCTGCACCAGGGCTCCATTCTCAACCAACTTCTTCACGGCGCGTTTCACCTGGTTGGCGTTGTCGATGCCTTTAACGGCCAGCTCCTTCTTCAGGGCGACATAGGAAATCCCTTTACGCTCCTTGGAGGCGGTGACGGCATTCAGCACGAGATCAGCGGCGCTGGGGCCTGCCTTCTTCGGCTTGGTGGCTCTCTTCTTCGGGGACTTGGCCGGTGCGGCGGCGGCGGGAGCGGATTCTGCCATGTTGCTTTCAAAGTAGATTCTCTGGTCTTGGTGAGACTGATAGAGAAATCCCAGCAAAGAGCGGAACTTAAACACACCATGAGAACCGTAGAGACTCAATCGCAGCCTGTCTCACAGGAGCAGCAGGCATACTGTGCCACTTTGTGTTTTCTCTTCACGAACAAATGTAATAAAATCACACCTGGAGGGAACCATATATTGTAAACTTCACCTTAAACGATAGCAAAGGAGTTTATCTTCATGTAAAAGTGAAATTGACCTCAATATTGTGTTATTATTTTAATGGGAAGCCTTTCGACCTCCCTCAAATGCTGCCGTTTGAGTCATAAATATGTGACTTTCCTCTCTAATTTCCCTCTTAAACGCTTTAAAATACTTTCAAATTCGACTTAAACTAGTTGGGCATAGAAATAAGATGTTTGGTTAAAGACCTAACCTAAACAAAGTTTACAAATATAAATATGTTAATGTTAAACAGAGGTTAGTTTTGTCTCTGCAAACACACTCAAAAGAGTCGTGGGATTGTACTCCGGTTCTGATAGAGAGTCGGTATGTTTTCTTTTACACTTCACTCATTTAGGATAATTTAACTTAATGTAACACTTTGATAACATGTAGGCCTATCTGTTCTTCTTCAGAAAACTAAGTAACCTGCCGTTTGCCTGCTGGAGTGATTTACAGTAGGCTATATGCCAGTACATCTATTTTTTCCGATAACACGTCAATCATATAAAGTGTATTCCTCTATACTTTATCATATCACTTTTATGATTTTTATTTATACATTTTGCGTCTTTTAATTTCGTATGTTTAACTTTAAAAGACACAGCAGAAACGCATTTACAAAAAACACACAAACAGTTGGAACATTTAAATCGGAGGCTGTTTTTGAGAAACTTGATTACTTGAGTTATTTGTTACACTCATTAAAGACTATTACAATACAATAGTTCACAAAATCTGCTCCAAGAAACACCTTTAATAAACTTTAGACTCAGAAAATTAGAGACTTTAAATAGGCTTCTTAGGTGTTTTGGCTCCACACATGTCTGACTAGGATTTTAACTTTATTTATTATTTAACACAGGTTAAAGGTGCTTGTTTCTTTCTCTCATGTATTGGTATTCTGCATACTCTTAAAATAAAGCATTATCTTCTGACTGTTTATCACATATATTCTCAAGGTCACGATGAATGACCAGCAGTTTCACCACAATAGGCCTATATTGTTTTTATTCAGAAATGTTAACCAAATAACATTAGAAATAACATAAATTGCAGGACAAGAAGATGTATACTTTTCTGTATTTAGTCGACGCATAACCTGAAAACCTTTTAAAATAACTTAATCTATGTATGTTTTTGTGTTTTGCCTTTAAATACTTCTTACATGAATCTTGTGATGCACCAACTTGAACACACCCGTAATTGGGTGATTCGGGTCTTGAAACAGACAGCCTCTGCTTAATGCCTGAGTCCAAATAAATATCATTACAATAAACAATTGTACATTCTGTTTTTGTCCATCTTATTCTATTTACATCTATATAGACTCTTTCATTAGCTTGGTCACTTAAAACAATCTCTGCATTATTGAGATAATGTATTAAAGGTGGGGTAGGTACATTTGAGAAACCGGCTCGAGATCGCTAGAATTTGAAAATACACAACCGGAGAAAATCTGCCACTTCCTTACAGAGCCCCTCCTCCAACACACACGAACGCGCACATGACCAATGAGGGCACGAGATAAGTTTGTGCACAGATGGAAGGCTGACAGGCAGGTAGGCCATCCAGTTATTTTAGCCGGGCTGGCTCAGATGATTGGTCGTGCTTTTTACAGTATTACAGCTTCCACAGATGACATTTTTTTATGGATTTTTTGTCAAAGCACTTAAGATATTCATTGCTATCGGGATGTTAAGAGCATTCCATGGAATATAACAAAAAGTGTATCTCGAGCCGGTTTCTCAAACTTACCTACCCCACCTTTAATTATTATTTATGTTTTATTATTATTATTATTATTTATGTATCAAGTTTACTTCACCTCACATTTGTCTTGCAACATAAAATGCACTATTTTATTCTAATCGATTCTACGGTTTCTTTTTGCACTATTTTAATTTAATTAGTTTTTTTATCAGTTTTATTGTTTTTTGTCCTATATAAATATGTTGCAATGTTGGAGGAGCCTGGGACTTAAGATTTGCATTGCCATGTCTACACTGTACTGTGCATATGACAATAAAGCCTTTGCATGTTGAATCTACCACCCCCACTGGTCCTTTTCCATACATGATTTACTCTTTACAGCTCTTTGCACAAATGGTAACTGTATTTTGATGTCTCAGTTGAACCTGAAAATAACTAATTGTTGTTTCAAATGACATGTTATGAAGCGTCTAAAAGATAACATTAACACTAATTAAACATTAAATCTAAACAGTTTGCAATACTTTATCATATATTCTTATATATTTGATGTGATCTGTGGCAAGATCTGATTGATTCCTTGTCCCTTTTAGGTTTCATTTGTGCATGTTGCAACACCCATTTTGAACATTAAACAAATAATATATTTGTTGTTGGGTTTAGCTTCCACAGTATCTACTTATCTAAATTCAGAGATTGCTCTCTTTAAATCCCAATGTGGGAATACATTTTAGTTTCAGGTCTCCTCCTATTACAGCACATATGTAGTATGGATATGGAGAAGCACAATTGCAACTGGGTTGACCCTCTTTCTCAAATGTATGCATGCAAAGAATTGAGGGACAGAAAATCCCCAAAAATGATGCTACACAATACAACCAGATGCAGTACAACATATTCTTTGCCTTCTGCATGTAAAATACCATGTCATCTTCTGCCATAATAAATGTATGGTAGTACTGATGCATGCCTTCTTTATCAAGTATTTAAAGTATATCAAGTATATAAAGAAATTAGATTCAGACTTAAATAGTATACCTCATATAAGCAGGGTGACTAAGACAGCCTTCTTTCACCTAAGAAATATTGCCAAAGTACGCTCATTTTTAAACCGACCAGAGGCTGAAAAGCTCATACATTCATATCAAGTAAGTTGGACTACTGAAATGCACTCTTCGCTGGTCTTCCAAAAAAAATCAATAGAAAAGCTTCAACTTATCTAGAACTCCGCCGCAGGCTTTTAACAAAAAACAGAAAAAGAGAGCACATTACTCCTGTTTTATCTGAACTACATCGGCTGCCAGTGTCTTTTAGAATTTATTTAAAAAAATGTTTAGTGGTTTTTAAAGCTCTTAATGGTTTGGCAGCCACGTATCTCACAGAGTCTCGTTGTATGTCCCTGGGATGTGTTGCCCTGGACGAGCCCTGAGGTCCACTTCAACTTTTTAAATATCCTAAAGTCCCCCAAAATAAAATGGGTGAGGCTTTCATCCACTACGCTCCCAAACTGTGGAACACCAGGAAATATCAGAGAGGACTCAGTGGACGTGTTTAAACGACAGCTAAAGACACATCTTTTTAGATTGGCTTTTTATTAGCGACAGCCGCCCTTTAAAGTATTTTAGTCTTTATTATTCACCTACTTTTATAAGTATATATTTATTTATCTTAAAGGGTTTTATCTTATATTATTTATTATCTTTCCGAGATGAATCATTATTTACTTGATTGTATTACCTTATTAATATGATTGTATACCTTTTGCCTCCTTGTGTCTCTTAACCTGTTAAAATGTTATATGTTGCTGCATGTATCTGTAAAGGTCTTCACATCTGATCTGAGGGGAATTTCTTGTTTATTTTTTACTTGTGATGTCTGCCATTTTGTAAAACACTTTGAGCAGCACGTGCTGTATGAAAAGTGCTATATATATAAAGCTCTATTATTATATAATCTCCCTCTTAAGGTTAAATGTGGTTCTCTTTATAAAGAGCACTTTTTTCTCGTTATGATTTGGTTATTTTTACCCATTTCATTTTTCAATTTTGTGATATTCTCTGTTTGGGTACCTTATTTTGAGCTTTCCGAACTACTACATAATAGGTATTTCATTACGAATAAAAGTAAGAAGAGCAGAAGCCTACATTAATGACCAAAATAAGATGAAAAAATTGACATGAAATTCATTAACAAGTTCCATGATCAAACTATGTGTTGTCTCTTTACATTTATGAGGTCTATTTCCTTTATTTTGTGTCACATATAACAACAAACCCTGATATATCCTATGGACATTTGATTGTTTGATTTACTGTTTTTTGTATTAAAATATCCTATATTTATTCCTTTAATTTGTAATGTAAAACACCTTCCCTTGTGAGGGATGGAGATAAAGCTAATATTATGAGACGCTTAAGAGGTCATGTTATTTATTTGAAAATGTGGTTAAAACAATGACTTGTTAAACAGGATAAGTTGTATACACCATTATGTTTATATTCAATTTAGTTTGCCTCACATTTAGGAAATTATTTGAGATTCTAATAATCCATTTAGGATAAAATTGAGATTTAACAGTCTAGTGTTAATGAAAAATATTATTTCATAACTAATTCCAAGCCTTTGTGCTGGTGTATGGTTCTAATTCCTTCACTTAAGTGTATGTTTCTCTGATTTTCTACAAATAATAAAGTGATAATACTTGTCTGATGTTGACAGTCAGTGGGAGTTCTGCTACCAAGAGTTAGTGTCTGTTTGAGAGCCTTTGTGACCTTACAGGTTTAGATCTATCTGTCCAACACATTTCAGAATGTAAAAATATATGATAATACTCATACTATATCAATATAGTTGTATTGTGATACATGAGAAAAGCTGTGCTAAATCAAGGTCTCTCACTGTTGAGTAATAGACTGTATTTAGAACACAGCCAGGGCCTGTCCTGAGTGTGTTTGCAGACAGCAGAATTACCTCTGTTTAACTAAAAGGTGTTGACAAATTTGGATTTGTTTCACATTGAGTCTTTAATCCAACATTTCATTTCACTATATTACAAGTTTTAGTGGGATTATAATGTATTTTAAATCCTTTAAGAGAGAGATTACAGAGAAAAGTCGCAGATCTGTACCACTCACGGCAGCAGTTTTAGGAGGTTTAAAGCCTTCCCAATGGAAAAACAACAATATTTAAAGCTTTATTTGGCTTCTATATGAAGATAAAGTCATCTGCTATCAATTCGATTAACCTTTGAAATTCAACTCGTTCTCTAAATGTGTATTTTTTACAGTTTTCGCTGAAGAGAAAACACAAAGTGGCACAGTTTTTCGGCAGCTCCTGTGTGAGCCACACTGAGTTGAGTCTCTACGGTTCTCATGGTGTGTTTAAGTTCCTCTCTTCGCTGGGATTTCTCTATCCGTCTCATCAGACCCGAGAATCCTCCTGATAGCATCATGGCAACAGAAGAAGCTCCCACTGAAGTCGCCGCCGCCCCGGCAAAGGCACCAGCAAAGGCACCAGCCAAGTCCCCGAAGAAGAAGGCAGCCAAGCCGGCCAAGAAGGTTGGTCCCGGAGCCGCTGAGCTCATCTTGAAGGCGGTCACCGCCTCCAAGGACCGTAAAGGGATCTCTTACATCGCTGTGAAGAAGGCGCTGGCCGCTCAGGGCTACGAACACACCTCTCACATTAAACGCGCCGTGAAGAGGTTACTCGAGAATGGATCACTTGTGCAGGTCAAGGGAATCGGAGCCACCGGCTCCTTCAAGGCAGCCGAGAAGCCCAAGAAGGTAGCGAAGAAGCCCGCAGCCAAAGCCAAGAAGCCGGCAGCAGCAGCAGCAGCAGCAGCGAAGAAACCCGCCGCTAAGAAGCCAGCAGCAAAGAAGGCAGTAACACCCAAGAAGGCGAAGAAGCCTGCTACTGCTGCCAAGAAAACCCCCGTGAAGAAGATAACAAAGAGCCCGAAGAAGAAGGTGGTGGCCAAGAAGGCAGCACCCAAGAACGCAGCGACTCCCAAGAAGGCAGCTACTCCCAAGAAAGCTGTGAAGAAGGCACCAGCCAGGAAAGCAGCGAAGAAGTAAACAGATAATCTACTTCCTCTACAAAAGGCTCTTTTAAGAGCCACCCACATACACCAAAAGAGCACTTCTCCTGTTTTAATATTACATTTGTTTACACCTGCTACATATTTATTCGCAAAACCAGAAGACATTGTGTTTATTTATTATTATCATATGCAATAAGTTAACTTAGTTAATTAGTAGATGACTTCAATCAATACGACATGTATTAACATTGTAACATTGAATGCTATATCATTAATGCTGTCAATCGTTTTACATTGTTTTTACAACACATTTTATTATTTTGCTATTTTAGTAGACATCTGCTCCACAGAAGGCTCTCACAAAAGTCACTCACAAAATACATATTTTCCCAAACACTTGATTGTGTATAAACCCTATATGTTGTATAGGCCTATATAACTTCATATAAATGTACATAGTACATCATTTTACATTTTATTTTAATATGTGTGGATCGAAAATTATTTAATTTTATCATTGTGACTTTATATTATTACACATTAATGCACTTTTACTTGAGGAGATCAGATTAGCTCCTGATTTTGATAATTAATGTTATGTTTAATAATTACATTTGATTGGATATACTTTAATGGCCGCAAATTGTACATTAGTTTTGTCACATCAGCGTGCCAAACTATCTTATAGTGTGCTTCACTTTGAAAAGTACACTTTATTTGATAATATTTCTCTAAGAATACACTATATTGTATATGTGTATAGATCTATTTCATAGTATTTGATATTCGATTATTTAATGTGAGGTCTATTGTACTTGACACAGTGAATGGACTAACGCTTCTCTGATTGGTCGATGAGATGAAGTGGGTGGCTCTTAAAAGAGCCGTTGGTTTGTAGCAGTAGCGGCGCAGTTTACTTGGAGCTGGTGTACTTGGTCACGGCCTTGGTGCCCTCAGACACGGCGTGTTTAGCCAGCTCTCCGGGGAGTAGCAGGCGGGACAGCGGTCTGGATCTCCCTGGAGGTGATGGTGGAGCGCTTGTTGTAGTGAGCCAGACGAGAGGCCTCACCGGCGATGCGCTCAAAGATGTCGCTCACGAAGCAGTTCATGATGCCCATGGCCTTGGAGGAGATGCCCAGATGCCTTCAGCCCAGCAGCCCGGTCCCGGTCCTCATCCTGCAGCCCAGCACCAGCCCGAGCCCGTTCCCGGTCCTTCAGCCCAGCAGCCCGGTCCCGGCCCTCGACCGGCAGCCCAGCCTCGTACTTCAGCCCAGCAGCCCGGTCCCAGTCCCGGTCCTTCAGCCCAGCAGCAGCCTGGTCCTGGTCCTCGTCCTTCAGCCCAGCAGCCCGCTCCCGGTCCCGGTCCTTCAGCCCAGCAGCAGCCTGGTCCTGGTCCTCGTCCTTCAGCCCAGCAGCAGCCTGATCGTCGTCCTGCCAGCAAGGATGTCCCTCTCCCTTCATCTCCTGAAGACGACTCTACACCCCTGTCAGGTGAAGGCAAACTAACCATCGACAGTGATGTAGAGAGTGAGTACAGCTCTGACAGTGAGATTGGAGATGATAAATACTATGAGAGTGTGAGCGAAAGCCCAGGTTCTGACTCTAGCTCTGACAGCCTTACAGCTGGTCAGCGAGTCAACATGCCCCTCTATTCTCCCCCTGAGAGTCACTCTGGGTCTTTTTCACCTACTCCGGATTATCTAGACCCCCCGAGTGAGGCTCAGAGGGAAGCCCCGTTTGAGGTCTCTAAAAAAAAGAGACCTGCAAGTAGAAACTTGAACGAAATAGACAAACGGGCTAATTTAGAGACAATATAAATCCAACATGAGCTTCATAAACGTCGCTACTTGGAATGTACGTGGTATTCAGTCTAAGAACTTTCGAGAGAAGAAAATGAAATATTTATTGGACACTGATTATGACTTCCTCTTTGCGCAGGAACTTAGACTGAGTACCACCGGAGATGTTGACGATGTGTGTAAAATGTGGCACAAAGGAGAGTGTATTATCTCCATCGGAGATAGCAGAGCTGATGGAGTTGGCATCTTCTTCAAGGAAAAATACATAACTATTATTAGAAGAAGGGACATAATTCCAGGAAGGCTGCTTTTGGTGGATTGTTTTTATAAAAATGAAAAATATCGTCTTATTAATATTTATACTGCCCCTGACGCAACAAATAAGTTACACATATTTAGAAAACTTAGAGAAGTTTTAACAGTTGGTTATAAAATTATATTATGTGGAGATTTTAATACAATAACGGAAGATATAGATAGGTGTAGTACAGTTGTCTTTAAACTGAGGGCGGAAGGAAAACTGCTGAAAGAAATCTGCAGCGATGCAGGCCTAATCGATGTCTGTCGCTCACTGAATCCCTTTGGAATGGATTTCACGAGATATGACAAAACAACTAAAACCCGTATAGACAGGATTTATGTATCGAATCACTTCTCTGTAACCAACTACAGAACCATTTTTAGTGACTTTTCTGATCATCTTTTGGCCCAAACGTCGTTGTCCTCCGGAGCCCCTTCCATTAGAGGCTTCTGGAAACTGAACACACAGTGCCTAAAAAATACTTGTGTTTCAACAGAATTAAAACTGGAAATACAAAAAATTATACAATTGAGATGCTTAACAAACTCTGACATCAAATTATGGGAAACATTAAAAAGTAGGTTAAAATGTTTTTTCAAATTTAAATGTAGGGAACTCAATAAAGCAAAAAATATTAAATATGAATCATTAATCAAACAATACATTCATTTAAAGCAGATGAAAGTTAAAACTAAAACGGTAAAAGAAAATATATCTAAATTAAAAACTGAAATTGATCAATTAAACCAGGAATCATATAATATGCATACATCTGAAATAGATCAAAGAGGCAACTTGGCTCAAGCCATTAAAACCAACCAAAAGAAAATCCAAAGTAAATTCATCAAATGTATAAAAAATCAAGAAGGTTGTATTGTGTATAATGAAAAACAGAACGGGAAGTGATAAGAGATTTATGTTCTGAAGCATATAAAAAAATAGACATTGAAACGGACTGTGTTGAAATTCTGTTGGGAACTATCCCTCCGTACAACATCCAAGAATTTGATTTCCTTCTCGGTGAAATTAAAAAAGACGAGGTGATCCAGGCGGTGAAAGAGCTGAATGTCGGTAAGAGCCCCGGTCCTGATGGTCTGCCCACTGAGTTTTATCAATTATTATCTGATGATGTTTTAAACTTACTGACCTCTATGTTTAATGAAGGTCTCAGCAGTGGTTGTATGGGTGACTCATTTTATGAAGGTGTCTTGTCTCTACTATATAAAAAAAATGATGAAACTGATATAGATAATTACAGACATTTAACTATTATGAATACCGATTATAAGATACTAGCAAAAATAATAATGAATAGATTAACAGATATATTAGATAAAATAATAGATAAAGAGCAAACATGTGCTATAAAAGGTCGCCTCATGTGGGACAACTTATCAATTTTAAGAGAAATCATAAATAAACCAAAAAAAGAAAAAGGTTTCTTTATTATTGGACTTGATCAAAAAAAAGCCTTCGACTATTTATCCAGAGATTATTTATGGTCGGTGATGAAGTCCTACGGATTTCCTGAAGCCTTCATAAACATGATTAAGTGTCTGTATTTTAAGTCTTGTGTCTGTGTAAATGTAAACGGTGTGTTGACAAATGCATTTAATGTTGAAAGAGGGGTTAAGCAGGGGTGCCCTCTAAGCGCAGCTCTATACGTGCTAGCCATAAATCCATTAATTAAAATAATAAACAATGACAGTTTAATATCAGGAACACCAGTTGGCCATGCGCCCAAAATAACTGCCATCGCCTATGCAGACGATGTCACTGTTATTATAAAAAACCAACAAGAAATGGATGTTCTAACAAATCACCTAAACCTATATGAATTGGCATCAGGAGCTAAATTAAACCACAACAAAACTGAAGGTGTTTGGATCGGCGCCGACGATACCAAACGCGACATCAACATTCAAGTGAAAAAAGAAATTAAAATACTTGGAATAACTATTTGTAGCGACAACTGTGCTGAACTCAATTGGGAGAACAAACTAAGAGAAGTCAAAGAACAAGTTAAACAATGGGAGAATAAAAATACAAATTATAAATCAAGAATAAACATAATAAAATCATTCATACTTAGCAAGATCCTTTTTCTAGCAAACATCTTTCCCCCATCAGCCCAAATAATTATGCAACTAAACAAACAGTGTGTCAATTTGGTGTGGGGTACAACAAGGGAGGTTACTAAACGTAATTTGTTATTTAAAAGTAGGGAATATGGAGGCCTGGGAGCCATAGACCTGGACATTAAACTAAAAATTACCTTTGTAAAAAACATCTCGGCTGCTATAAATAGGAAAGCACCTTGGGTCGAGGATGGAAAAAAGGGATGGAACAAAAGAAGAGGCAGAGCTAGAAATAGTCCATATTATAAATTAGTTTATGGTGATTTCACAACTGAAGTTCAACATTTAGGGATTGATTGGATCGGACTACAGAATAGAGTGATTTTTAAAATGGTAAATGATTTCAAATATGGAGGTTTTATAACATACAAAAACCTAAACCCTGACGAAGGTAAAGAAGTCCTGAAATTAGTGAAATGTAAACAGATATCAGAGAGCATGAGAGACGTGAGGTGGCTGATATCGGTTAACAGACTTGCCGTCAGAGCTGTGGTTTCATGGAGCTGCTATGTGAAAACTAAAACATGCCCCATGATAAACTGTGAGGAAGATGAGACCTTACAGCACCTCCTCATGGACTGCCACAGAGCCGAGGAGGTGTGGTCGCTCCTACGGGGCATCGGTTTGGAGTTCGACGTAGAATATGCCTCAATCATGTATTGTATTCTGGATGAGGGTATGGTCATAAAACACAGGGAACTTTTTCAGTTAGTAATTTGTATAACATGTATGAAAATCTGGAAGACAAGGTGCAAGATGATACTAAATCAGACGATAATAAACAGTGGCACCATCGTGAAACAAATAATCTCTGAACTAAGGAGAAGAAAAACCCTGGACAAATCCCAGACTCTGCCATGGGGCATTTTGAAGCTGTGACCGAACTAAGCCTCTCTGGAATATGGACGTTCTCTCTGTTTATGTTATTTATATATGTATGCATTGCGATTTATATGTATTATTAATGTAACTTGTGTATATCATGTACTGCCAAATAATTTAAAATAAAGTTTTATTAAAAAAAAAAAAAAGCAAAGG